CGCGGGCAGCTTGCTGCTTGGCGAGCTGCTGCTCAGCTCGATTGATCCTAAACGTGAGCGCCTTGACCCGCTGGGGCGCAGGCTTCTCCTCGAAGAGCTGGCCCCGCACCTTGTCGCGCTCCGCCTTCTCGCCGCCCACCAGCGCCTGCACCTCGGAAGCAGCGATGCCAGCCAAGCTCTGGATGAGGCCATCCAGCTCAGCAATACGCTCCTTGGTAGGTGACTCGCTGGCGCCCCCATCGTCGGCGCCCAGCTCGACCGCAAACGGTTTCGTCTTGGCCCCCTTGAGGTCGATCTTGAGCTGAGAGACCTGCTTCTGCATGGCCGCCAGCTGCGCTGCAAGCGGCCCGCCGTCCTGCCACGGCGCCGCGCGCGTGGGGGCCGACGGGCCACCATCTGGTGGCGGCTTGCATTTGAAAGCCACCGCTTTGGGCATGCCGCAGCTGTGGCATGAGAGTTCATCCGCGTAGTTGACGAAGGGCTTGCCGTCGCGCCCGGAGCACCACTTGCAACGCCACTTCGTCCTGTCGTCGCCCCGCCCCCCGCTGGCCCCAGCCCCGCGCCCGGCCGCCGGCGGCGCCATCGCTGCGACAAGGCCCCCCCCCTCAAGGAGTGAATTGCACTCGGGAGCGCAGCAAGCGGCGGCCGCGCAGGCCAGGAAGACAAGACTGAAATTTGTTATCTCGATAACAGCAGGCCGGAGAAGTTTTGGCTCAAAGTGCGACCCCTCGCGCTCATGCCGCCCTCTCGGACTCGCGGTCGTCGGGGATCGCATTGCCTTGAGCAAAAATGGCTACGGATGTGTGCGTGTGTGTGTGTGCGTCTGTGCGTGTGTGTGTGTGTGTGTGCGTGTGTGTGTGTGTGTGTGTGTGTGTGTGTGCGTGTGTGTGTGTGTGTGTGTGTGTGTGCGTGTGTGTGTGTGTGTGTGTGCGTGTGTGCGTGTGTTCGTGTGTACGTGTGCGTTTTTCGAGTAGGGGGTCGGCTGCAGAACCGATGTACCCGAAATTGACGTTCCGTCCAATCTACGGAACGGAAGGCACAGTGCTCCACACGTTTCGAAACATCGACGGGATCATAAATTCTAGGGTAAGTCAATTATGTGATCGATCACCTAGCCGAGCTTTTAGAATTGGAATCTGGTTCGTTGCAACGACGCGTTCGCGTGATGTTATAAAAGACGCGCGCGTATTCTTGGATGCCGGGTGGAGGAGGCACACGGCTTGCAGGCGGACGGTCATGCCGCCTCGCCCCGCGAGCCGCGCACAGGCGCGGCACCGGCGACCAGGAGACCCGACGCCGCGTGAGTGCGACCACACCTAGGACCCCGCGAGGTGAGGCAGGGCCCTAAACAGCCGCACTCACCCCCAGGCCCTCGGGCTTGGCGGCGCCCCAGGAGCGGACGCCGCGGAGACCGCCAGGGGCCCCGCGCCGCCAGGGTCCGAGGCGGAACCAGTAGCCCGTCCAGGCACAGCCCCCGATGGCCCCCCTGGGACTGGCGTGCGCCCGCCCGCGGCCCCGCTCAGTTCCGCGGCGCGCATGGCCCGGGTGGCCTTGAGCAGCTCCGCGAGGTTCGTCGGCAGCACGATGGCCTCACCAGCATCAGCGCCGCATCCGCCTCCAAGAGGCTTTCCAGCGAGAGGCAGCGAGGCTGCCGCAGGCACCGGGGCCTCGTCCTCGTCCATGACGTCCGACGCAGCAGCCGCCCGCTTCGCCTCCGCCAGCCTCTGGCGTCGGCGGTGCCTCCGGAGGACCTTGCCCAGGCCCGTGTCCTCGGAAACTCCCATGCCCTTGTCCTTGACCTTATCCTTGTCCCTGTCCGTGTCCTTGCCGCCGTCGGCCTCGCCAGCGCCCGCCCCGGGCCGCGACGCCATCGCGAAGAGCGAGGCGGAGGCGAGGAGGAGGAGGATTGTCACGGATGTACCCTTAGGCGGTGGGTCGGGCTCGCACGCCTCAGCCCCTAGGGGAGCGGGGTCTGGCCGATGCGAGAAGCCTGCCACGCGGCCTAAAGCGGGGGGCGGAGGACAGCAATGATATTGAGGTGCTTAGTGAGGAACACCGGTCGATGCTCCACCTCTAGATCGCCTTCTCTGTCCACTGCCCCCTCCTCACCCTATGCCCTCTGGCGATCTGGTCAAATCCGGGCCCCTACAGGGTGGCACCCCAAGTCGGGGAAGCGAACTTGCCTCACCAGTGGTCCGCACACATACTGAATATGTTGCCGTGCGCTGCCCAACGGTTCCCATCAGGGGGGCAATCGGACCCTTAATGAGTCCGCGCGCCTCCCTGCCGCTGAATTTGAGCTCCAAGTACGGCCAAACCAGCCTCTGTGCACCGGTAAGCTGCCCAACTCACTGGTGTTCCCTCCAGGCACGGCCGAGAGCCACCCGCGGGGAAAGCCCGATATCATGACGGGCGAGACGCGAGCACGACAGCGCGATTCATGAGGGGTACAGTCCCCAGCGTGAGGGGTCAACGCATGAGAGGTGCAATCCCCAGCGTGAAGGGTCAACGCACGAGGTAAAGGGGACCAACTCCCCAGCATGAGGGGCCACCTTTCTGTACCGATTTGGCGTGGCTGGAGAATGGCCTTTGCACCAGCCCCACAAGGACGAATTGGCTGCCCAGGTTAGCGGTGGTAGCACGCGGGGAGGGCTGCCACTGCATGGCAACGCATGCCTGACCTGATCTCAAGTCGCTGTAATCATCGTTACAGACTCGTCGCCAGCGTCACCGTCACCGCTGCCGCCTTTCGGCTGCCGTCTCCCGTCGCTCGCAGCTGGGAGGGATCACTTTTGAGAAAAACTGCAGCATCGCAGAAATTATCAAAAGTGCCACGTCCTGGTTTTCAGCCGAAGGGAGCGGGAGGGCCGCTCGCTCGGCAAGAGGCCGTGCCTGCCTGCTCTCCGTCCTCCGTCCTTTTCACTCCTCCACTCCTTCGAAGAGGACAACCCCACCGCGCCCCAGCGGGAACCCAGGGGGGACCGAACGAGCCCCCGATGTCGAGCCCACATGCCTAATACAGACATCGGGAGGCGGGGTCTTGATACGCGTAAACAGGCCCGCGCCAAAACAGTCACCCAAGGCCTTTGGTGACTGGTTTGGCGCGGCGGCTTTTTGGCCGCATCGATAGCGTATGTTGTAGCAACATGTACGCATGCCTAATGCAGACATCGGGAGGCGGGGTCTTGATACCCGAAAAGAGGCCCGCGCCAAAACAGTCACCCAAAGCTTTTGGTGACTGTTTTGGCGCGGCGGCTTTTGGCCGCATCGATCGCGTATGTTGTAGCAGCATGTAGCAGCAATTAGCTTGAGTGCATGCGCGTCGCGATTGGCGTTTGCGCTCAAGCCCCTCTCTTGGCAGGACGCCGCGCCCCAGAAACAGAGATTGAGAGAGAGAGAGAGAGAGACACGGCCAGCCGGACACCGATCCGCAGCCAGCCGCAGGGCAGGAGCAGGAGCCCCTGCGGACACCGCCGTGCGGACGCATGCTCCGCTGGCGACCGGCCGCCTGAACCGAATGTCCAACCGGACGCGCGGTACGATACGACGGCCCTTTGAACCTAACCCCGGTCAAGGTCACATTTCGAGGCGGCATTCCTGCACAAAGACGCCAAGGCAAGCAGAAGGCTCAACACACGATGCTTGCCGCCACAGGCCAGAGCGCGGCCAAGCGTGTGAGATCCGCCTGCGGCTACTCCAATACAGTTGTCAACGCATGTTGCTGCGTATCGCACAAAGCTGCTATCCCACTTAGTGGGATTGTTTCTGCCGTAGCTGATGTCCCACTTAATGAAATTGTTAGCCTAGCATGTGCTGTCTACCGCTGCCTGCTGCTACCCGGACCCCAGGAGGAGGAGGAGGAGGAGCAGGAGGAGGAGGAGTGGGAGGGGGAGGGGGGAGAGGAGGAGGAAGAGGAGGAGGCGGGGGAGGAGGAGGAGGAGGAGTTCCCCGCCACTGGGGCGTTCCTCCGGGAACAGCTGTTCATCCCGAGTCGTCTTGATGTAGACGAGCGCGTTCCAGTACTCGCAAAGTAGCTACTCGCAAATGGCCTGGATCTGCCGCGGGGGATCTACGATACACTACATCGAAGCAGGCACGAATTTTTCGGGCGTTTGCGAGTAGGGCCTTTGCGAGTAGTGGAACGCGCTCGGTGATGATGGCCCTGGGGCCCAGGGAAGGCCCTGGGAGCCCCGGTGCCGGAGAAGAAAGGCAGGACCCGTTGCCCGAAGGACCAGCCTGGTTCATGGCGGTCCCTTGCGAAAGTCGCCCTCGCGGCACAGCAGGGAGAAATCTCCTGGCCCCGAGCCTAATGGCATGACCGCATCGGGCCCCTCGTCCTCTCGCGACCCCGTCACACTCCCGCACGAGCAAGGGGACAGGCAGACAGGGGGGGACCCGAGCAAACCGAAGAGGAGGGGGTCAAAAGGGGGTAACCAGTCAGTCAGGTCAAACTGCTTGGCGTTATGTCGGGGATGTCCTCCTACAAGCGGATTTTGGAAGAACCATCAAACATATTCAAAACAATAGAAATAGCTTCTTTTTCAATGAAAAGCAGGAGCGTTCGTCCCCAGATTAGTTTTACCATGCTTGAATGTTCCTCCTGTAGAGGGACATGCCCGACTCAAGCTTAGCATTAGGTCAGGCATGTCCTCCTAAAGACGGATTGTGGGAGAAAAGTACAATCAGTCAAACATAGCCCAAACTAATGAAACAAGACTCGACACATCGCCCCCAGGCTGTTTGTTGCTTATCTTTTGAAACTTCCTCCTGTAGAGGAGCATGCTCGACTTAAGCTTAGCAATCTCCTTGTTTCGGCGGTGGACAAACCTCCCTTTAGTAAACCGAAACCGACGGAAACCGACGGATCTGTACCCGCAAAAATGATGGCCGCGACGCCCTCTCGCGAACCGAAAACGGCCAATTCGCTAATCGACGTGTCAGGGTAGGAGGTCTGTCCACCCCCGAGTGGAGGAATGGTCCGAAATCCGAGGGCCGGCGGCACGGGCGCTGCCCGCAGGATGTTCCAGATCGCCACCACGAAGAACAGGATGTAGAAGACGTAGACCGCGGCCCGGACGCCGCCGGACAGCAGTATGACGTCGTACAGCTCCTTAGGGGGCCAGATGCGAACACTACCCCTACCCCCCACGATTTCTGGGGGGGGGGTGGGGTTCACTTTGTTCGGGAGCTGTCGAGCGAAGTGAACCCCACCCTCCCCCTCAGAAATCGTGGGGGGTAGGGGTAGGGTTCGCATCTGGCCCCCTACTCCTCCCAATCCAAGCCGCCAGTGACGGACTGAAGGAGCAGCAGCATGGCGTGCGGGACCGAGCCGAAGTTGTCCACGACACCGGTGTATCGCTCGACCTGCACCGTGGTCAAGGTCGCCTCATCGGCCACGAGGTCCGTGAGGTAGTCGGCCATACCCTGCACGAACACAAGAGAGAACAAGTACAAAATGAAGGCGATCACCACAAGACACCAAAGCAACTGCATGAAAGAGCCCAACGCGCAATCCACCATGAGGCGTAGCTCTTGAAAGAAACGCATCGCGCGGAGAGTTCGTAACACCTTCACCACCTTGAAAACTCTGATCATTCTGAAGAACCCGACTTGCGTGGCGCTTCCGATCAAATCTAGAATGGAGAATGCCACTAGCAAGAAGTCCATTATGTTCCACTTCGCGTCTTGGTTGAAAAAGTAATACGCCTTATGCACAGACAGCCGCATCGCCAGCTCGATACAATACCACACCACCAAGGCGATTTCGATGTAGAGCCACTCCTTGGGAGTCTTGGGCGGTTGCACCTGTGACCAATCCTGCGTTGGGTGGGCATCGAAGTACGCCATCTCGCGATTGGTGGTGTACCCAACGAAGAACCCGTTGAACACGATGACGGACAAACAGAGCATCTCGAACGGTTTGCTCTCGTTGACGATCTGGTTCAGGCGTCCAGTCCTCGGTGGCTCGCCCTCCACAAGCATCGCGTCCAGCCAGTCTGCCATCACAGTCAGCCCTTTCTGCATTCGCCCAGGACCGACGGACTGACTGGTGTGCCTGACGGTGGTCGCCACCCTGACCATGCTGTCCGAGAAATCGATCCTCTTCACGAAGCCCAGGCGGGACTTCATGGACTTCAAGGTGCTCGTGCGGTCACGGAACACCACCTTTGAAGGGGCCCCAGGACACACAAATAAATGCACACAAATAAACATGTTCCCCATACTTTCCCATATGTTGGGGGGTTTTGTCTTCCCCACCACTTCCCATATGTTTGCATATTTTCCTGGGAGTCGACGATTCATTGTGTCTGTGTATTTCTTTCCCTCCTGAACCTTGCGGTGCTGCCGCTCGATCGAGCTCATGCTTCTGGAGGGGGACTCCGCCGTCGCCCGGCTCTGGGGCGGCGGGGAGAAGTCGCTGGCGTGGGACGACTGCAGGCTCAGCTCGTCGGTGTGGCCTCGGGGGGAAGCCGAGGGACGAGTGTCCCCAGAGGCTCCCAAGATGCCCCCTTCCTCCTCCTCCTCCTCCTCCTCCTCCTCCTCCTCCTCCTCCTCCTCCTCCTGGTCTTCCCCGCCATCCCCCCCAAGTGTTTCCCGAAGGGCTTCCACAACGGTTGGGGGAACACATGGTCCCATAGCTTGGCAGACACCGACGCCGCCCTTCCCAGGACCTCTAAAAGGGTGCGCTGTGACCAGGGCTTCGAGGCGAACCCAGCGGTGGCGACGAGGGCCTCCCAGGGGGCCCCATGAGGCAGAAATAAGGGAGGGGAAGGGCAGTCCGAATCTGAGAACTAAAAAGGAGCAGGGGGGGGGGTCTGATTTTTGTTGGGGGTCTGATTGGAGCTGTCTTGCAGGGTGCCGCGGGGTCTGGCCAAAGGCCGCCCACTCATGGCTGGAGGGTGTGAGAATGCTCGGCTGGAAGGGTTGTGACCCCCCCCCCACTGATTGCGTCACGTGGGGTAGCGGTATGATGAGTAGCATCCATGGGGTGACTCATTACTTGGGGTGACTCCTCCCCAAGATGGGGTGAGCATCTATGGTATACGTGACCCCTCCCCAATGTGGGGTGACTCATTCTGTTCCGGGGGCCTTGTTCACGGACTGGGTCCCAACAATAGTTGATGACTAATTATTTGTTTCCGCCGCACCCGCCGCTGGACAACGACGACGACAACGACGACGACAGCAACAAGGAGGGGGAGAGGAGGGAGGAGGAGGAGGAGGAGGAGGAGGAGGAGGAGGAGGAGGAGGAGGAGGAGGAGGAGGAGGAGGAGGAGGAGGAGGAGGAGGATGAGGAGGAGGGTTTTTTGAGCACTCAGTCCTGCGGCATGCTTCAGGAGGGAGGAGGAGGAGGAAGGAGAGTGAGGAGGAGGAGGAGGGGGAGGAGGAGAGAGTTTCATGACCAGTCCTAACCACCGCCGAGTGAAACACGGGGGAATCAAAACAAAAAAAAACCTCAGAGGTTGCCTTGCCCTCCTCCGAGCCTCGCTCGAGCTTCTCGAGCTCGTGGTCGCCGCTCGAGCTGTGCAGGCGGGAGGCGTCCAGCAGCGTCGGACCCCCCGCGCGGGCGCCGCCCTCGCCGGCCGGCGCCCCCGCGCGCCCGCGACCCCGCGGGCCCGCGGCGCTGTCGCCCTCGACCTGCAGGAGCACGTGCTCGCTGGACTCGTCCGCTTCGGTGAGGGGGACCTGCGTCCTCCAGAGGGCGAAGAAACCGAGGCCTCCTCCCTCCTCCTCCTCCTCCTCCTCCTCCTCCTCCTCCGCCTCCTCCTCCTCCCCTCCCCTTCCTCCTCCTCCTCCTTCTCCTTCCCTCCTCCTCCTCTCCTCCTCTCCTTCCTCCTCTCCCCCCCCCCCCCCCCCTCCTCCTCCTCCTCCTACTCCTCCTCCATCTTTTTTCCCCTCCCCTCTCCCTTTTTTCCTCCCTCCTCCTCCTCCCTCCCCCTCCTACTCCTCCTCCTCCTCCTCCCCCTCCTCCTCCTCCTCCTCCTCCTCCTCCTCCTCCTCCTCCTCCTAAGCCCATCTGGCCTCTGCTGGGAGGGGGCCAGATCAGGGTCGCGTCGGGTGGTCGATCGATCCCTCGCGCGATCGCCAGCGATCAGGCCGCCCAGGAGGTCGGGCTCACGCGAGCCGATCGGCGCCCCTGGGGGGGTGAGGCATCCCTTGCCTCGCGGGCCTCCCCCCTTGGGCCCGATACGCGGCCGCGCGCTGCTCCTGGCGCCGCCGCTGCCACCGCGCCGCAGCCGGCGCCTCGCGGCTGGAGACGGCGGCCAAGGAGCCAGCTTGGCATCGCCGAGACCGCCAGCGACGGTCCTCGGCACGCGTGCTGAAGGCAGCCTGCCTGCTGGCGCCGCCGGCCGTGGCTCTATGTGGTGTGCGCCCCCGACGGAGGTGAGGCGCCCCGCGGCGAGCAAAAGCCAGCGGCGCGCATGGAGGAGGCTGCTCCTGGCGACCAGCCGCCAGGCCGCCCTGGACCACGGGCTGGTCGAGCTGGATTTCGGCGCCTGGCCAGCCACGCCCTTCGACTACGACTTCGTCGAGGGCTGGCTGCAGGAACCCGCGCGCGAGAAGTGCGAGAAGTGGGAGGCGACGGTGGTGCCCAACACGTTCAGCTACAGCGCTGAGACCTGCCCCGCAAGCCTCGAGCCAGGGACCAGCGACTACGCAACGTGGGCGGCGAAGATGGGGCCCGACACGATCAGCTACAGCACTGGAACCATGTCATGCGAGAAGGGGGAGGTGAAGTTGGAGCCCACCGTAACCAGCCGCAGAGACACGGCGGGATGCGAGAAGCTGGAGGCGAAGACGAAGGTCGAGCCCAACGTGACCAGCTACAGTGCAGAGAGCCCATGGGCGGAGAGGGAGGCGAAGACAGAGCCGAACTTGATCAACTACAGTGTCGAGGCGCGCGAGAAGGAGCGAGAGACGTACGAGCGAGACGGGCGAGCAGTGGCTGCTAAGTTGGCGAAGCTGGAGCCCAATATCGTTTGCTACTCCTCGTCGAGCCTCGCCGCCACGGCTGGATCAGAGAAAACGGTTTGCGAGCAGTGCGTGAAAACTGTTTGCGAGAAGTGTGAGAGCGAGCAGAGCGAGAAGGAGGAGGCGAAGATAGAGCCCGACATCACCCGCTACAGTGCTTGGATCAGGGCATGCGAGAGGCGGAAAGCGAAGCTGGAGCCCGACATCATCGCTGGCCACAGTACTGAGAACAGCGCATGCGAGAAGAGGGAGGCGAATGCAGAGCCCGACACCATCAGCTGCAGCGCTGGGATCAGGGCTTGCGAAAAGGGGGAGGCGAAACTGGAACCCGACCTCAGCATTGAGGGGCCTCCAAACGAGTCTTCGAATTTCCTTCCGACCGACCTGGTTTCTGGAGAGCCGAAGAGCGACCCCTTCGAGTCCCAGGCCGACCTCGAGCTGGAGGCAATAGTGAGCGCACCTGAGAAGGCGGACAGGACGTCCTCTCAAGAGCCCTCCCATCCAGGTGCGCAGACAGCCGCGAACATCGTCGACACGCGCGCCTGCGAGAAGGGGAACGCGAAGCTGAGCAGCTACTGCGTCAGCAGGGCCATGTGGCACGCACGCTCCCAAATCGCCAGCACATGGCTAGAAGGCGGCGAAGACGATCGAGCCCAACGCCATCAGCTACAGTGTTGGAATCCAATGGGAAGCGGAGGACATACATGGAGTGTGGGGGCCCCTTCCGAGGGTTGACCAGAAAAAGGTGGAGAAGCGATATCAAAGATATCTCCACGGTGAGGAAAGCGGCAAGTTCACGATCACAGGGTCGAACGGGAGGCCCACGTGGCCCCTCAGACCAGATTTCGACAACATGCTGCTCCTGAGGGCCACAAGGGCGAAGGCTTCGATCAAAGGCATCAGGATACGCAGAGTGTAATTGCGCTGCGTGAGAGAGGAGTTTACATGCTGTATGAGTGAATTGCAGCGTGGTTGTTCTGTGCTGCGCTAGGGGCCCAAAGCGTTTCTGGGCTCCCGAAGCGGCACCCGCCTAGGCGAAACTCGACTGCGTCGTCGCCGAATTCTCCCGAATTCTCCTCCTCCTTCTCCTCCTCCTCCTCTCAAGCCCTGGCGGCTCCGCGCCCCGAGATCGGGGAGCCGGCCGAACCGGCGCGCGCGCACCGGCGGGGGTGGTTCAAGCCAGGGCTCGAAGCTGACCTCGCCTCGCGACTTGAGGGGGAGCAGTGAAGGGGCCCCAGGACACACAAATAAATACACACAAATAAGAATATTCCCCATATATATTCTTATATTTTGGGTTTTTTGTCTCCCCCCCCCACTTGCCATATTTTCCTGGGAGTCGACGATTCATTGTGTCTGTGTTTCTTTCCCTCCTGAAGCAAGGCTGCCGCATAAGTCGCGTCGGGACTATCACAAGCTACGGGCAACATCTCCGTCTGTATGGCTGGTGTCTTCGTCCGCGTCTGTTCCATCTTTTGGTGTGTGCAGTGGGTTGTGCATCAATCAGGGTTGTGGGTGCATTTTCAGTTCTGTTTGGGCTTCAGTGGTTTCAACTACAGTGCTGCAATCTCCTACGCCGCAGCGGGAATGGAATTCAATTCGTATTTGTTTGTTGGTGGCGCCCCTTACGGTCTTTCAAGTTTTCTTCAAGGCTTGCTGGTGGTCAGTTCATCAGTCAAACAACTCGGCCGTGGGTGGAGTCATCAGTTCTGTTTGGGCGCCTCAATGGCCTCGTCACCTACAGTGCTGCACTCTCCCACAGCCGCCAAGGGAGCGTATGTCAATTCAAGTCTGTCTGGTTGGTGGCGTCCATCACGGCGTGTCGATAATCGTGCTTGCTGGTGGTCGTTGCATCAATCAAACAACTCGGCCGTGGGCATTGTCTGCAGTTCTGTTTGGGCTCCAGGCCTCGTCAGCTACTGTATTGCAGCCTCCCGCAGCCGCACGGGGAGTGTATCTCAATAAGTTTGGCATTGTGGTGCTGCTTGTTTCAGATATTCAAGTGGCAGAAGTTCGCATGCGTTTTTGCAAACTGTGGTTGTTAGGCGTTCCGAGGTGTGTGCATGGCTGATTTTGGCATGACGTGGATTCAATTAGGCCGTGCTGGTGGGCATCAAGGACAGCACGGTTCCGCGGGATTTCGGCATGCCCCGTCTCGTTCCGCCACTGCAGGTTGCCAGTTCCACCCCCGCTTGCTTTCGGTGGGGAGTGTGCGACGACAGGCGTTCGCCAGGCTGCCAGAGGCTATGGTCAGGGGGCTGTTCCTCTGAGGTCACAAGGGGTCACGGCGGCATCGTCGACCGTGGACGCCCGTGCATCCTCGATCCTCGATCCTCCTCCTCCTCCTCCTCCTCCTCCTCCTCCTCATGCCTCCCCGTCCTCCTGCCTCCCCCATTCCTCCTCCTCCTCCGCCCTCCTCCTCCTCCTGTCTCCTCCTCCTGCCTCGGCACTGTGGTGGCACAGTGTCCGTGTGCCGTTTCTTGCCCCTCGGCAGAGGCGGTGGCGGCGGGACCGGAGCCGGCGGGAGCTGCCAGAACCAGGCGCTCCCGAGCAGATGGGGTCCGACGATCGCGCCGCATCGACGGTACATCGCCGATGCATCGGCGATGCCTCGGCGGCGTCGGCGATGCATCGGCGCCGCCGGAGCGGGAAAGCATCGGGCTCCCCCTCGAGCCGCATCGCCGATGCATCGGCGATCGTCGATGCGGCGCGATCCTCCGACCACGTCAGCTCGGGTCCCATCTCGGAGGCCTAGAACATGAACGTTACCGCAGTCGGGGACGCCTGCCCCCCAGGCGGTTGAAAAGCTTGTGCCCCTAATTACTGTGCCACGCAAGGGTAAAAAAACTTTGCAGCCGCCTGGGGGACAGGCGCCCCCGACGGCGGAACAGAAAATATATGCTGCACCGTTCTCCATCCAACCAAATCCTCCCGCTCATTGGCGAGATCGTTGGCGCTGCGCGGGTCGGCGACCGCGTGGTCCTCCGAGCGCTCCTTCTGGCCGAGCGGGCGCTCAGCGGAGGCTTTGGGCTCGGTGTCGGTGGCGAGCTCGGCTGCGCAGCCTGCTTGACCTGCACCGCCGGAGCCATGCCGGACGAGGCGCTGCCGGAGCGCACCGCGCGCCGCTGCAGGGGGCCGTCCTCTGGCGAGGGGGGCAACCCTTCTGGACACGGCTTGCCCCTCGCGTGCCCCGCCAGCCAGCCCGCGCTGAGCGCCGCCGCCGCCCTCGGGTCCACGCCCTCGATCGGCGGGAGCCGCGCGATGATGTGCAGGAGCATCGACCGCTGCTCCCGCAGCGCGTCCATCACGTGGCACATTTGCGCCTCCCCCGGCAGGTCCCCGTAGGAGGTGCAGGAGTCCAGGAAGTCCCGGGTGGGCGAGGCCTCTCGAGCTGGTGGTCATGGAGGTTGACCCAAATAGGGGTGAAAAAAAAGACCTCGTGAAGGCCCGTGCCTTCACCCCCCATGTGGGCCCCCCCCCCTGACCACCCGCCCTAAAAAATTTTGGACGTCCGAAATGGGTACGGAAAAAGGTACAATGCCGAACAACAACTGTTGTCCAACACCGACAGCGGCCGCTGTTGCGCAGGCGGCTGCTTGTCTTCCAAGAACAACGTCCGCGGCGGCGCGGACAGCGAGTCCTGTCCAAAATGAACAGGAGCTGCTGTTGTGCACTTAAAGGCCTCCGGGATGGGGTCCGAGTGAATGGGGTCGGAGGATCTCGCCGCATCGCCGATACATCGGCGATGCATCGCCGATGCGTCGGCGATGCACCAGCGATGCGCTGGCGGCGTCGGCGATGCATCGGCGACGTCGGCGTGGAGAAAATTGGGCCCCACATCGAGCCGCATCGCCGATACATCGCCGATGCGGCGCGCTCCTCCGACCCCGTCTACTCCGACCCCATCCAGGAGGCCTAGAGCACCGCACCCACTCTTTACGTACTCATGTTTGGACGCCCGAAATGGGCACGGAAGGAATAGGTACAATGCCCAACAACAACTGTTGTCCCAAACCAACAGCGGCCGCTGTTGGGCAGGCGGCCCTCTGTCTCGAACGGACACAGGCCGCGGCGGCGTGGACAGCGAACCCGGTTCAAAATGCGCAGGAACTGCTGTTGGGCATTGCACCCGTTCTTTCCGTACCCGTTTCGGGCGTCCAGAACAGAGGCGAGGTGGGCGTCACTGATGGGGGGGCGGCCAGTGGTGGGGGGGGGAAGAAAGGAGTACTTCTCGGGGCCTACACGACCTCTTTGTGGCCCTCAAGGGCCCCTTCTAGGGGCCCTGAAGGACCCCTTTTGTGCCGACCGTCCCTGAAGGACCCCTCTTGTGCCCTGAAGGACCACTTCTAGGGGCCCTGAAGGCCCTCTAGGGCTCCTTCTAGGGGCCCTTTCGGGCGTCCAGATCAGTCCGATCGTCCCGAAGGATCGGCGGTGGACAAACCTACCTTTAGTAGACCTCCCCTTAGTGAAAACGGCCTGGGGCCGAAATCGGCGGACCTGGACCTGCAAAACGACGGCCGCGACGCCCTCTCGCGAACCGAAAACGGCCCATTCCTGAATCGACGTGTCAGGGAAGGAGGTCTGTCCACCCCCGACACAGGACACCTCCCACAAGAGAGGGAGAGGGGAGGAAGACAAGCTAGGTGCGCTCGCGTCATATCTGACGTCCTACCCCTCCCTCCCATCCCTTACCATGGCGCTGATTTTCTCTATCCGCGGACGCGTGTCGTAGCGAACCTGTGGCTCCGCGCGCGCGTGCGTAGTGGGTGGTGGTGCGCGTGCGTGCGTGCGTGCGTGCGTGTGTGCGTGGTTGTGGTGGTGGTGGTGGTGGTGGTGGTGGTGGTGGTGGTGGTGGTGGTGGTGGTGGTGCTGGTGGTGGTGGTGCTGGTGGTGGTGGTGGTTGGTGGTGGTGGTGGTGGTGGTGGTGGTGGTGGTGGTGGTGGTGGTGGTGGTGGTGGTGGTGGTGCGTTTGGGGTGGTAATGGTGCGGTGTGGTGGTGGTGGTGGTTGTGGTGGTGGTGGTGGTGGTGGTGGCGGTGCGGCGCGGTGGTGGCGGGCGGATGGGCGCGCGAGAGAAAGGCCCGCGCTGGGGCGAGAACGCCATCCTGAACGACGGAGGCCAAACACCGATCCGAAAATGAGGCCCACGCGGCAGCGGGAGCACGATTCGGAACGATTCGGGAGCAGAAATGAGGCCGGCGCCTCAACGAGAGCAGCATTTTGGGAAAAAATGACGCCGGCGCCGCAGCGAGAGTCGTTTCCCGGGATTTCCCGGGAATCCTGTGTGTAAAAAAACAGTACGCGGAGGGTGCGCGGCCATCCCCCGGACGCCATCAGGGGAAGAGGGAGAGTATTTTCTTATTGAGTAATTGTGGAGGAGGAGCGGGAGGGGGAGGAGGAGGGGGGGAGGGGAGGATGGAGGAGGAGGAGGAGAGGAGGAGGAGGAGGAGGAGGAGGAGGAGGACGAAGGAGGAGGAGGAGGAGAGGAGGAGGAGGAGGAGGGGAGAGCGAGGAGGGGAAGGAGAGGAGGGAGGGGGGGAGGAGGAGGAGGAGGGGAGGAGGAGGAGGAGGAGGGGGAGTCTGTCCACCCCCGAAAGGAGCCTCCATCCTCGATCGGGCGTCTCTGGCGCGCGATCGGCAGCGTGCCGACCCCCCCCCCCCCCCCCCCCGGGCGCGGGGGCTCTCCAGCTCGGGCAGCGGGAGACCGCGACCCACCGCCGCCCGGCCGAAGCTGCCGCCGCGCAGGAGGCCGAGCATGCTGCTGCTGCGCCTCGGCCCCCCGCGCGCCTCGCGGTCTGAGTTAACCAGCCTCGAACTTATCCCTGTCCCTACGATCGACACGCCCAAGGGCGGTGAAAATTCTCAGGGGTGCACCCTCAGAGACTGAGGGTGCGTCCCTCAGATCGCCACCGTGACGAGGCGATGACCAACATAGGGATATGGACAGGTTCCAGGCTGGTAATGAGCACCGCTTGACCGATCCCCATCCCCGGCGGCGTGGCCTGGGCCCCACCGGCCGATTTGCCCCCCCCCGGATGGGGACATCGGTCGTGCCCTTCGGTGTTTCGAGGGGTGTATCCCCAACTCGGGTGGTAATTTTGGAGGGGCCCTGGGACACACACATAAATACACACAATTAACAGGATGCCCCATATTCTCATGTATCTTCTGGGTTTTGTCTTCCACACCACTTCCCATATTTTCCCACATTCTCGGGGGAGTCGACGATAAACTGTGTCAGTGTGTTTTTGTTTCCCTCCTGAAACTTGGTGGGGGTCTCGACGGGGATGGGGGATGGGGATGGAGCTCGGTCAAACGATACCTACGGTCGGAGCTGCGGGCTCGAGCCAGCCGCCCCTCCCCTCCCTGCAGCGTCGGCAGGCCGGGGGGGGGGGGGGAGAAAAAAGAAACGCTCCGTGGGGACCTGGCCCGTCCATCTTAGGATACTTGATACGACCAGAAACTATCCTGATGTCAGGATCCACTGCCCGAGGCCAAGGGGGGAGGGCGAGGGGTTGGGAGGGAACTACTGTTCGGTGGCAACTCGTGGGGGCCTCCCATGCAATCTTGTAGACTCTTGCGAGTCGACGCTAATCGACGCTACATCGATGCTAACCAACGCTAAATCGACGCTAGTCGACGCTACATCGACGCTAATCGACGCTTACCGACGCTACGTCAGGGACTCCCACACGCTAATCGAAGCTAGTCGACGCTAAAGCCAGAATTGCGAGGGGAGGGTGCCCAAGGCTCCCATGACTTGCTACCAAACCTCCCCGCCCCTCCCTGCAGCGTTGGCAGGCCAGGGGGGAGGGGAGGGAGCGGGAAGTTAGGAGGCAACTGTTTATTCTGGTTGTTATCTCTCTCCTTCTCTGCCTATTTCCCTTTCTCTCTCTCTCTCTCTCGCTCGC